TGCAGGGAGCTCAAGAATCTCATCCACTCTACACTCGCATTTGCCTCCCAAAAAAACTGGGACCAACGCCGAGCCAAACTCGTCTCTATTCGAGAGGAAATTCTACGCAACGCGTACGACTTCGTCATGGATCTTAGACACTACGTCGACCCAGCTAAGGCTCCGTATTCCGACGAGCGCTTCGAGACGGCGCAAGGAGATTTCTGCGGGGTACGCTTCGAGACGGTGCAATTCCCCGGCGTCAAGTCTCTCCAGCAAGTCTATGATGCAGCCGTGTACTACCTCACGAACAGGGAGATTACAATGTCACAATGGAAACGAGCTCGCTTTTGTTTCCGAAGATGGATCCAGATGGGCAATACGGGATGGTCGTGTTCGACTCCATCGACCAAGACGAACTCTATCCGTACAACTGGGCTGAGCGCGTTCGGAAGGATGTGTCAGCTACTGCTGTTTTCACAGTCGGCAAAGACGATAAAGGTGAGCTAGTTGTGACCATGGGCCGTGCGGCGTTCTTAAAGATTTACCGACCTCAATTCTCGCTCTCCGAGGACGTACGGCAAGAACTTGCGACGGGTATTATGGCCTGGGGTGATGTCATGCTCAAGACCGTGCGTAGTATTGTGATTGTGCGATTCTGCTTTGTGAGACCACCATGAATTCATGGTCTGATTGGATAAACTAACTAATGTGCTGTGAGTGGAAAACCGGTTTTAATACCGGTATAAGCGTATTCTATTGTTGCAGAGTGATTCTAGGCGCGAAAACTGTGCGAGTATTTTTCATAAAACGCACAAATTATTACCAAACAAACATACTACGAGAAGGGCCGTCGTATATGCCACATCTTTTGAATTTGTGAGTATGTGAGTATTTTAAAATGGCCTTTTTTAGCCACTCCAAAGATTTTCTTTTTTTTATGAGTGCAGACCCTCCTCCTAGTTCATATTGCATAGAGTAAATTTATCCCAATACTCACATACTCCCAAATATTTACTATTGATATAAAGATACTATATACGCTATTGACATGATCTGAGTGAAAGCTTTGTGAGTAATTTCATTTTACTCACACTTTCATCTAAAATCTATCTACAATCTATCTCCTATTGGTATTAGATGAACCAAACCTTGTCTCGTTCATTGTTTCGTGTGAGGCAAAACTTTTACGGACATCGTCGACACATTTAACATGAATCCAAGTCATGATCCACTCGCTAATGTGACGATTTTCGACCTCGTCGAAATTGACATCATAAAAAAAGATGATCTTAAGCGACGGATATATAAAATATAAAATAAAACATAACCTTAGTAATATAACAATGTGCAACAACAAACAATTTCCCTCATTTAAAGAATTACAAGATTATACCAAACTACATCCAAAAACCACTATTTGTCAGATTAGGGATGCTTTTGATATGCGAGGAGATAGTGTGATTTCAAATTTGCGGAATCATAAGAAGATGATTTTAGCTTACGGAATTAATGATGAATTCTTCAGGCATCTTCAACAGTTTATAAAACAGGGCTATGCCATTTACGAAACTGATATGATGGCGTGTTTGGTTTCCCATAAAACGCAATATGTTGGCAAAGGATTTTTTTTACCAATAGTTCTATCAATTCAGAGCTAAGGTCTAACATTTTTTTTCACACTTCGCTAATGTGCTAATTTGGCGGGATTGTAGTACTCAGATATCATAAAAATGCGAGTTCATCTACCGGTACTTGATTAGCAATTGCGCGAGGGAAGCTATTTCTACTATACAAGCTTTGGCTGGAGAAGGATTTTTGATGATGCGGTTAAACCCTTCAAGGGTAATTCGTGATTCAACTCTTACTTTTGGTCCCCATGTTCATAATACAATAGTCTTTGTCTCTGTTTAAATATTGTCTGAAATCAATCTGATCTACTTTCACTCCAAGTGAGTTTCATTAGCTGGTCGTCCGTCGTTCTAGACAATTTCAGAATTCTTTTTTCGCTCATGGTACTTTATTTTTTCGGATAATGTAATATAATCATTATCAATATAACCGCATAAACGATGTCTTCCGCTTCTGATATTTCCGCGTTCGAACATTATGTCGAACCTGCTCCGGCTGAGACACTATTTCGCGATAAGAAATGGACCTACATCCAATATTCCGCCTCGAACACCGGTCAGTATGCCGGCCAAATCCAATTTAATCTATCAACGATATCTTCACAAGCAGCATTTGTAAATTGGGAAGAAGCCGTTATCGAGCTTCCAATGAAGCTTCAAATTCTTAATGGTGGTGCCGGCTCGGTCACTTCGACTGCTGCATGTACTATTGATCAATTGGTGCCTAAGGCCGGTGCATGGCAATTTATTGACAGTGTTCAAGTTGTTATTACTGGAAACCACTGTGCAAACGAATCGAGTCCATGAGAATGTGGATATTTTGAAGCAGCAGCACCACCTTGAGTAATCGACAAGTATAATGATTGATCAAAAGTAGCTCCATTGACTTTCAATGATGCAGTGTTAATTCCGGTTCCAGACCCACCTAAATCCAATTGATAAGATG